GCTTCGCACAGGCCTAGTGGGTAGCCCTCCCACCATCAAACCCATCCACAAAATTCACCCCTATGAATCATTTGCAGCTAAATCACCCTGCTTGGTATGCAAGGCTTTCTGGTCATTATAGGAATAATGGTGAGGAAATGATGCAGTTTTTTTTAGCAAACAGAATGCATATGCAGCTTAAATTGACAACAAATACGCTCTTAATGTCAGCAAAACCCAGAGGCTCTAATTAAGGGTTAAATCCAAACAGAGTGCCTACTTTGGGGAGTTAATTGCTCCCTGGTTTGTGCGTCATTACTTGATCTTGGAGAAGGGGGCTGCTGGAATATAAAAAATTAAGCCGGCATTTGCATCCCTACCATAAAAAGATAACTTGCAAGAGGAAAGTAGCTTGTGGCAGAGCTGTATCAGACAGTATTTCACATGCATCCTCCTTTCTGCCTGTTTCTTCTCCTCCTGATCTCTGTATCCAGGACAATGGGGGCTGCTGTGCTTCCATCACAGGAAAAACTTCTATGGAAAGATCACAAGGTAAGTAGAAAACATACAAAACTGCTATGCCTATAATGCTTGTTTACTCTCTTCTTCTATGTGCCCATGTGAAGGACAGTTCTTCCCCAGTATGGGTTAGAGACATGGAAGGAACTTGGTGAGACTAGTTAACAAGAGCACTCCAGGCATTGGTGTGTTGCAGTTTTTCTCCCTTCCGAGCCCCTGATGTCCTTCTCTTTTTTAGCCCGTTACTTTCTTCAGTGGGATTTAGTCCTTCCTCTCAGAGAACAACCTAAAAGGTGGGTACTCAGGACGTGTAGTAGAGATTATATCTTTTATTAGACCAAGAAGATTTTTGCCAAAATATTTCTTTAATTGCAAGCTTTTGGGCACAAACACCCTTCATCAGGCATTGAAGAAAATACTGTAAAAGTAATTAAATGGTGGGTTGCGTTCCTTCCAAGAATAAAGGATATCATTCATGTGTCATTTAGATAAGACCGTAAGTGTTGGAGTTCTCTCTACTCTTCTCCAACTCTGAAGTGCTGGGTAAATTTAACAAGCAAGAGGGGTTTCAATGTCCCTGGCCAGAACCTCCCTTTCCCCAAACACGTGCACACCTATTGTGTCAGTGGGCTGCTGGCTTTCCACCCCAGAAGTAACTGTAACTCGGTGGAGAGATGCAGTTTGTAGAAATAATCTAGGATCATTTGCTATGAAAGGCTGCTACACTGTTGTAAAATCTGTTGGCTCTAGTCAGGGAACTCTGGCTCTGAAATGGAAATTCCAATAACGTAATGACCTAATCGCTTAGCTGCCTTGACTTAGAGAGATAATTGAATGCTATTACTGGTTGAAAAAACTCTAATTAAGTTAGCCATTTTAAGAGTTTTTCAGCCTTTCGTATTTGATTTACTGTAATCTTGAAAAAGATCCAAGAATCAGTACATAAACTGGACCATTAAAAAAGGATTTTTCACTGAAATTATGGGATGAGATACAGCATTGCAGTCTGGTAGTTCGTTACGCAATAGCCCTTGTCATTTTCAATGAGGCTTTTGAAGGATGCTGAATATAGAAGAATTTTTTTTAAAGGGACATGCTATATGTAATGCGAAAGCAGGCTGTTGTTGCAAGTTACTCTTAAGTTTGCTATCAAAAAGAGCACAGAAAAAATGCATATGACAGCACTTTGTGTATGGTAAATTTGCATTTATTTTGTGTTAGTCGTTTGTTTTCCTGGGTCTGCCACACAATAATAAGGGTAAGAAAAACATTTTAAAACATGTGAACATGAGTGTAAAACCAGAGAAATTGGCAAGGGAAGCACCTCTTAGCAAGTCTTAAAATTGACTCGATTTCCAGTTGACATAATTTGGTCAAGTGCGAGTATGTGGCCCTGAGAACAAATTTATGAGTCTACAGGCACTTGAGCTAAGATAACTGCTCAGCAGAAGCCCATTTCAAATGCTAAACACAAATGCTTTGCGAGCATTAGTTAATGCTCTTCATGTCCCACTCCTGTAAAATCAAGGTTTTACAAGCTGCCAGTTTGCCCCAGTAGATCACTGGAAATAGCTTCCACATGCATAGAGCCAAAGTCTATCTGACCTTCCTTTCTATATGAGGCTGCTTAATCCAGTCATGCAAGGTTTCCTGTTGTTCATTTACACCAGAGCTGTTCCTCCATGGAGTTAAATAACTTTTGCTTCTTTTCCAAGCTCCCACAGGACCAAACAGATGCACAGAGAAGCTCCCTGCCCACATTCCTGTCTGCGCTGTCTGACTGGATGTCCCAGGTGAATGAAGCGCCCCTGGCTGAGGCAGCAGTAGAGCTAGCCAAGCGGCAAGAGAGGGATGCCCTTCATCCGTCCCCAGCCAGGGAAAAGTCTCCCTGCAGGAATTTCTTTTGGAAGACTTTCTCCTCTTGCTAGCAGAATAGCTCAGTGAAGCTGTACTGTAGAATGGCTTTAGCACCACCCACCTCACTCCAGATGAATGTTATCAGTGCCTGCTCTCATCTGTGAACAAATACTCTCTCTCTGTAATAAGTGATTAGACACTTTTCCTCTCTAATTCTCTAACCAACCTGAACAGTATGCGAATCAGAATTCATTGTGATTGAAACAGATTAAGCCTGATCCAATTGAAATGTAATTCAGATAGTATCAAAACAGCACATTTCAATGATAAAGCAGAATATTATCTGCCTCATCCTGTTGTTTTCATTCACCCCAAATCCTCATTGCCTAATAAAAGGATGGACAGCAGGATCAGGTTTAACAAATATCTATGTCATTATCTGTAGTAGAGATGCAAGGATTGTCGTTTCAATGCCTGCTTTTTAGGTTTCTTATAGCCCCAGCTGGTACAGCCCTATTTGCACAGAGTCTTTCCTCTGGAAAAGATCTTTTTCATCATTTATTTGAAAGCTTTACCAGGAGACTTTAGTTTGTGCATAATTTTTTCTAGTCTCTACACATTTTTCCTCTCATGCTGGTATAAATTTCTAGGGGGGTGTCACTTCTTTTTAATGTTAGCCTGTGCATAGAAGACACGGCTTTGATTACTGTTAAATAACATCACAACAGGCAAATTTAAGCAAGACTTAAATGGAGGGTGGGTATTTTTTGTTTTTAAAGGCTAACTGGAAAAAAACTGAAAATAAATAGCAGGTTTTAAAAGTTTCTGTATCGTTGCTGGGTTTTTTTTATTGGATGGAGTGTTTTGTCCCATATTAAAAACGAGACATCTTTGTAGGAAGCAGTCGTGTTAAAATATATCTATAGTCGATATACTAAGTTTCACAAAGAGAGGAAACCAATAAAAGTTCTCTCTTCTCCCATTTTTCTTTAAAGCTAGAAAGGAAGGAAGCTGTATAGTGTCAACACTGCAGCCCTTGCTAGAAGGAGATAGCTGTGGCATCTGTGGCTTTCCATTAGCAAAACTGGCCTCGTACTTTGTGAATGACAATTTGCATATATCCCACCTAACTGCACAGTATGCGGTGTACATAAGAAAAACACATTAGAGTTGCATGAAAAGCCATAATAAGTGCCTCTTATTTTTGTTTATACATCTGACGGGGGTAGGGCTTTCATTTCTAGGATGAACTTTGTGGCTGCACTGAGATAAGCGCGGATGTTTGGTTCCCCAGGGAAAGCCTGTGTCACACATGCTTTGTTGTGTGGCAAGTTACCCTGGGGGCGGTAGGGGAGGCTGGGGCCAGCACTGCGAGCCCCATTCATTGGTGTACTGGCCCCAGCAGCCTTACCTGGGGGCCTCCTGGGGCCACAGCAGTGACACTCCTGTTGAATGGAGCCTGGCTGATAGCTACAGCATGGGTCCAGGCAGCCAGACTCTGCTTTTCATCGGCGCTCACTGCCTGTATGTGCACTGCTCCATTCCCCCCACCCCCAGGTTTTTTTGACTCCTGGATATCCAGGGGTCAAAAAACCCCAACAAAGCAGTGCATGCACAGGCAGTGTGCCCAACACCTGACTGCACAGTATGCGGTGCTGCATTCCGCACTGCTGCACTCATCTGGATGTGCTCTGCATGTCAAATTTCAGGTAGTATAAGCCTTTGAAAATAAGGGTTTGTAATGAAAAACTTAGCGACCCTGCAGCTGCTCTATGCAAACAGTGTGAAACCAAGCTTGCTGAAAATCACAGCTCTCACCAAGGCTAGATTTGTATTCAATTACTGAATTTGTGTAATTATCTTTGTAGAACTGAATAAGACATGGATGTGCCTGAATAGCATTTCTGATGTATATCTGCTATTCAGCATAGCTACTAGGACAGCATATAATAGACTAAATACTATCCCTACAGTGGCAGGAAAACTATCATCTTGCTACTGCTTAAACTGTCAGAAGAAAAGTGTTGCGAGAGATTACTACTTTCCCTAATTTGTCTCATTTCAAAAGAGAAAGGCAGTTTAAAGCAAAGGCCAATGTTGCTTTTCCCCCTTAAACAACAGAACACTAGTAGGCATTTGGCAGTTAAGTCCTGGAGTTTCCTATTAAGGGAAGTGTCACACCCCACTACCATTAGCTCCTGGTTGCTCTAACTAAGATTCAGGAAGGTTTTGTATGAAATTAAAGAGTTAATCGTAGTTTCTTATAATTGTTAAAGCAGCAGATTTTTGCCTACCTTATATAATGGCACTAGAACTGACTGGGGTCATGTTCATTGCAACTACACTTGTATTGTGCTTATGGCACATTCATTAAAGCTAGATTGCAATTTCTATACACAAGGGGCACATTTGAGCATTTGGCTTTTTCTATACTTTTAGCAACTAGTGTACTGCACTGCTTAACTTAAGTGTTAGATTAATGGGTTATGCACAGAGCTGGAAATGCTGTATATTATACCTATTAAAACCAGACTCTGCTCCTCTTTTTTTTTTAATGCTTCAGAATTGTTACCTTTGTCTCTCCCAGGACTCAACTGTGTTTTCGTGCAAAGTTACTAATGTTGCTGGCAAAAGCTAAGCGATGCCCTTGAGGAAGTTATTTGTGACCCCGTCTTCAATTAGAAACACCCATAGGTGAGAGACAGTGAAAGTTCCCCTACCACACCCCGGTGCCTCGGAGAAGCGAGGGTACATATATGAATTAGAAAATTATATTCTTGACGAACAAGTCACATAACGTGTACATGTATATATTCACCAAAAGTTAGCTTAGTAGTAGGGTACAAAGGTTTTAATGCCTTTAAAAATATTTTAATCATTAAAATAGTCAATCAATATGAACAAGGTCCTGATGCTGTATCAAAGATAAAGACAGAAATACAGACAGCCCCACTATTAATTTTGTGCGAGAGGACTTCTAACCAAGCTTTTTATCCTCAAAACATTTCACAAATAATGGTTCTCGCACCACTCTCCTGACCAGAAGTGCAAACAGTGTTATAGAGGCTAAAAGTCGTTTGATTAAACTCTTGCTCAATGAGCCAAAATTGTAATGTGAAATCTGAAGTCAAGTGCCAGGAGCCCAGGTTGGGAGTTAGCAACTGCTCTTTTGGCATTGACTGGGAAGTGTGGTAACCTTACTAGGTTCCCCCCAGGAATGGGCACTGAATAGCGCTCTGCTTATTGCTGCACTTTACATTATAACTCTAAACTGAACAAGTAGGTATGGTCTGCCCTCCTACATGGCATCAGCACTTGGTAGAGAAATGAATGCTTACATAATGATCCTCAGTGCCTTCTAATCATTAACTCAGCCTCACAATAGCCCTGTGAGGTACATAATTCTCTTTTAAGATGAGAGGAAAGACAAGGTAAGGGACTTCCTTGTAGCCACCAAGTTGAGCCATGGTTAGCAATCGGGAGCTCCAGATTCCCAGTCCTGCATCCTTCTCTCCACTGCCTTTAGCAAGACAATGATTGTGTGCACAGAAGTTACTTGAAGTTCTGATTCTTAACCTCCCCTCTTCCCCTTCTGTAATGCCTTTGGTTATACAACATCCTGGAGTCTCATGCCACAGGAATTAACTGTCAAGGCAAGCCCAGTTTTCTCAAGCTAGTGCATAGCGTGAACAGCGAAGTGTGGTATTAAGACTGTAATATACCACTTGTTTGTTTTGGCTCTTGTGCCCCAGGGACATGTTTCCTTGACACCTAAAGCATTGCCAGCAGCAGGTCTACAAAGTTTCTTACTTCCTGCGTTTTGAACTTAGCCAGTCTCCCCAGGGCAGTGATTTCTTGACCTTTGACATGCTCCTCAGCGACTGTAGAGCTTGCACTTGCTGTAGGCGCCTTGAGAGCTCCTGATCACAGGCCTGCTGGAGAGCTTCAGTCTTTTGCTTGTCCCAGCTTAATGCCAGAGCCAAGACTTCCGTGTCTTCTTTGAAAACCAACTGTGACAGAAATAGATGTTACTGACATACAGACTCCTGCTGCTGACAGCTTGTCTCCTGCAGCAGCTAGAATTTCCTCTAGCAACACATCCTCCTGAAGCACAACCCTTCCCCCATTGAGAACAGGTGGGTCATCATGAAAGAGATGCTGAATTGCTAATAACAGATTTGATACATTTAATCAAAACTAGGCACTCGGTGGAAAAAGGGTGCAATAGCTGGACAACTGAGACATTTTGCAGTAGTTCCAGGGGCATGATGTTGATCCCTGCTCTAGACATGCTGAAAGCTGACTCTTGTCAACTGGGCTGTACACAGGTACCTGATTGTTTAGGCGGTCGAGTCAAAGATGGCTCTATGTCTTCCTTATGTGCCATCAGATATGCAGGCCTGATGGACCATTCCGTCAGGTAAATATTTGAATTTCTATACCCAACTGGGGCCCCTGGCCCTTATCTGTGAGGAACACAAATCCCTGGCTTAACACTCTTGTGTGTCAACCCTAATTTGTTGCCTTAGATTTTTTAATCTGCTTGGCATCTGGAAAAGTCGAGCAAAACTTTACAACAGGACACTGAATGCTAATTCTTGCCAAACAAGGTCAATGCACTTCAACCTGGATGAGGGGGTAAAAAGCACCCTGTTAAAATTTGCTGATGACACTAAGATGTGGGGGGATGTGGGCACATTAGAAGGAGGGAATAGGTTACAATCAGACCTAGACAGGTTATAGGGGTGGGCGGATGAGAATAGGATGGGATTCAACACTGACAAGTGCAAGGTGATGCACCTGGGGTGGAAGAACCAGCACCATACCTACAGGCTGGGGAACTCCCTTCTCATCAGTATAGAGGCAGAAAAGGATCTTGGAGTCGTCATTGATGCCAAGATGAATATGGGCCAGCAGTGTGGGGATGCAGTCAGGAAGTCAACCGCACCTTGTCCTGCATCCACAGATGCATCTCAAGCAGGTCCAGGGAGGTGATACTCCCCCTCTATGTGGCACTGGTAAGGCCGCAGCTGGAGTACTGTGTCCAGTTCTGGCACTGCACTTCAAGAGGGTTGTGGACAGCATGGTCAGGGGGCAGCAGGGCAGGCCCTAGAAGGAGAGGCGACAGGACCTGAACCTGTTCTGCCTCCGTAAGAGAAGGCTGTGAGGGGGCAGGATCTAGTGGCCTGTTACAAACTAGTCAGAGGAGACCAGCAGGCACTGGGGGAGTCTATTTCCCTGAACACTGCCAGGAGTGACTAGAAACAATGGTCACAAGCCGGCAGAGGGGAAATTCAGATTAGACATCAGGAGGCGCTACGTCACTGTCAGGGCGGCTAGGATCTGGAACCAACTTCCAAGCGAAGTGGTGCTGGCTCCTACCCTGGGGGCCTTTAAGACAAGGCTTGACAATCACCTTGCTGGGGTGGTTTGACCCCAGTACTCTTGCCTGCCACGGCAGGGGGTCGGACTCAGTGATCTGCTCAGGTCCCTTCCGACCCTACCAACTACGAAACCTTGTTTGTGTAGAGGGGGAGGTAAATCCGAAGACTCTCCACAATTCCAAGGTAGGGGTTTATTTGCATTATGCTGGCTGGTAGATATTGCAAAGTGCTGCCAAATGCAGCGCCATATTCAAAGAGCTTGCTCGGTAAAATAGTCTGAACTCTGGGTGACCATATTCTGTGAATGGCTGACAAAGCTCCAAGCAAGTATTTCCTTTAGAGAAGGAAGTTTGACAAACAACTGTTTGGAAAGTGGCAGTGTGACACCACAGGGGAGGTCCAGGCAGAGAGGCTGCAGCAAAGTACACAGAGACATTAAAACCTCACTGTTTGTGCCTTAAGCTGTGGAACCCCAATTATTGATGTAGTTCAAGAGGCAATTTCCCCATTTCTGTCCCTATGCCTCCCTCGCTTCCTCCCACACTAACTTTGGTCTTTACTCACCTCCAGATCCTGACTGTCCAAGCTGAGTTCTGGGGCAGGCTTTTCTTTCAGTGCAGTAAGTATCTGGTCACTGAGTGTAATTTTGGTTGAGGTGTCTGTATTGCTGGCTCCAGCATCAACCACATCCCCTCTGAGCGCTGCTTCTGGTTCTGAAGAGTAGCAGGAAGAGTGCATGTGTGGCCACGGGCATGAATGCGAATGTAGGGCTGCACAAACGCTTTGGATGAGTTTGCTCTCCTCTGCTATGGCTACTGCTACATCCTCACAAGTGCCTTCACAGCCCCAGTAACTTGCTTGCAGCTTGCCCACCATCCCTCCTCCTCTAATTCAACCCCACCCTTTCAGATTCTTTCTAGCTGCCCAACCCTTCCTACCTGTTGCCTTGCTTATGATGCTGCCTTCTTTCTTCAAGGCCTCCAAGTAGAGTTCCAGAAGCTGCTTTGACTGTCGTTCTTCCTCCCGTCTGTCCAGCACTTGCTGCAGGGTATCCTGTAATACCTGGACTTGGGGTTGACTTTGGGACAGCTCCTCGGCTAGCTCTATGCATGGTACATCAATGAGCACCTGAGTAACAAAGTGGACTCCTGTCACACGGAATGATTTAGGTAACCCTCATTTTGAATATTCTCTCTTCTTGATCACAGCCTAAGGAGGCCCTAAACCCCAGCCAGCCTCCCAAACGATGCGTTCATAGCAGCAAAAGTCTCCCTGTTGAAAGAAGTCTGTGAGAGCAAGTTTTGCTACGTGCTTTCATGCCAAGGCAAATCAGTCTAGTTATAAGAAGCTCTAACGGGACTCATAAATCCCAATATTCTTAACAAGCAGCCACAACGTACTCAGAAAGGTGTGAAATTACTGCCCAACTTTGGAACAAGAATGTTTATGCGAACTGTTGGATCTGAGTGTGACACATACCAACAGCACTTAGCATTTGAAAAAAATCAAGGCTGTTTGCTCCATTGTTAAATGAGCACCATAAGGTACAGTCACTACAACCAAATTCTACTACATGCCAATGTAGAGAGGCAGGGAGTGGTCTAACATAAGTGGTTTGTTCTTGGGATTGACACTGGTCAGGTAAGAGTGACTGGACCACTGCCAATCCAGTCTGCCCGACTGTCTGACACCAGAAGCAAGCACCAGGCTTTGATGAGGAGCCTATTTCAGTTGCTGGCTGAGCAGCCCTTCAGTTCTTCCTGGGGGGAGAGCAAGTGGGGCCCTCATAATACAGCTCCCCATCAGAGCCTCCCTGCAGAAAAACGGACCTGGCAAGTACATTGGGCATGGAGTCCAAACAAGGCAGAAGATTTTATTTTCTTGACTTTGGGTACTCTGGCAGGAGTGGGACTTTCACATGACCTAGCCAGAAGGCAGGGTCAACCTCAAACTGGAACCTGAGGCAGGTCAATCGGCTGGAGATGAGGAAGGAAAGAACATGCCACATCAGTACAGATGGCCAGCGTGGAACAGCCACACCCTTCGGGGCCAATACAAACCAAAAGGACAAGTAAAGTTGGGGGGCAGGGAAGGAGTTAAGCATTTATCAGGCAGTCAGAAAAAAGGATGTTGCATCACCACAGAAAAATGAGGAGGAAAAAGGAGGATGGTGTTAGGTGTGGAGGGGGAGGGATACTGAGAAGAGATGAAGCAAGAGAAGAAATGGTCCCAGGAAAGAGCACTGTCTAGGGGAAGGACAGAATAATCTGGAGCTTGCACTGCCAGTCAAGTGCATGTTATCCCCAGAGCTGAACTTGATTTCAGCACCCGAGTCAAGCCAACTGCAGTTGAATTTGGACAGGCTGATAGATCTTGCTTTCCTACATTTTCACCCACTACTCGTAAAACCAAAAGGCACTGAGTGGGGAGAAGGATGGTAGGCAGACTTCTGTAGTAGTTCTCATTATACCTGAAGGTCTTCCTCAGACATCAAAATGATGCTGGACAAGTCATCTTTCAGCTGCTGGGCCAGGTGTTTCCACTTCTCTTCACTGGCATCCACTTCATCTGTGGATTCTCTTGAGAGCCAGGCTGTGCCCCCATCTAACATGACAGAAATAACCAGAATCACAAGACTAAGGAACTCAAGGCTGCAAAGACAGTGACAACAAAATCCAGACAGATCTTTGTGGGAAGCTGTCCATTGGGAGTATAGTAGTTATGCATAACAAAGGAAGCAGCGTCTGGTCTATGAGCTATTGAAGTTTTCTTGCCCTTGAGTTGGAGTCCTAGCTACAAAACCTACACTGCAATTACGGGAAGTGTTTAAAATGCTGCTTTCAGAAGCCATTCAGGAGCTGACCCATCTGTGTGACTGATTAGAAGGGGAATGTAACATTTAAACTTTTTTTTTTTCAGTTGTTTTCTTGGTGCCTATCAAGAAGCATGAAGACAGACTTGTTACAGAGCTCACATATTTTCTCCCCACCTCTTCATTGTTGTCATTTGCCTTTCCCACATTTACCAGTAAGAGTGTATTCATGTAGATGAACAAGATGATTTTTTTTAGTGTAGCAAAAGATTAATATCACCTGTCTATAATAGGTTTTTTCTTCACACCTAAGAAGATGGAATGCAGAAACCATTTCTAAAATGGGCACCCAGCAAAGGGCCCTTGGTCTAACGTCAGCAGATATTATTTTTGGGACATTCACAGACAAGCTACCACCATCACCACTCAGTACCTAGACTCCTGCTGGACCACTGTTCGTTTCGGGCCAATGCCACAAACTTGGTGTTGGCCGGTAAGCACAGGAAGTAATCTTCATCATCCACAATGGTGCCATCCTCTGCCAGTACTAAAGTGATGGGTTCCCAGGTCTTGTCAAGGGCTAGAACATCACAGGCTGCAGGAGAGATCGTTTATTTTTATGAATCAAGGATGCAAAAATCAGCCTTGGCAGCTACAGTAGGCATCCCTTGTCCAGCACCACATGCCTGACCCCTGTCAACACATGTAATAAGGCAGCAATCCAGAAAGGAAAGCCCAAAGCAAGGAGACATGAGATCAAGGTACTATTTTGAACACTTAGAAACTCCACATGCGAGCCAAGCCTACTCAGTCATCGGGCAGAAGAGCAAAGGCTAAGTACACACAGCCTGGAATCTCCAAAGCAAATATAGTGTAGGTTTAGTCAAAGCAATTTCCTTCTCTAATGGAGCTTAAAAATCTTTAATGCAATTACCGAGTTTAACCTTTACCACGACAGGAGCTGTATTTTGGGAACGCTGATGCTGGCATGTGCGGCACTTGGCACCTTGGTGCCTGTGGGCACACAAGAGGTTTAGTTGTGCCAGGCTCCTTGAACCTACGGAACTCGGCAATAGGTCTCAACATTCACCTCGGTCCTGAGCCAGGTGGCTACGAATGCGAATGCCCGGATCCTCCTCGCGCAGCCAGGAGCTGCACGTCGCAGCACTAAAGGGTCACGATCTCAAAGCCTTGCTCCCGGGGGGCCAGCTGCCCCGGGGCAAGTTCCCGAGGGCACATCTCCAACCTCACGCGGCACAAGGCCTGGCGCCAGCTGCCAAGACACCCTGCTGGGCAAAGGGTTCCCGCTGAAGGGAGCTGCGCCCCTTGCTTCCCTCCCCAACTCCGCCACCTGCTTTCCTTATCCCCTCCCCCACAACAGTCACTGCTTCAGAGGGTCCCTGCCCCGCCCCCACCCTTGGCTCCTCCCACCTATGCACCCTCCCCTCCCGCTCAGGGC